AATGGTAGTCTCCAAGTATACTCCCAGAAGTCACAAAATGGAAAGCTTCGCAGACAGACTGAATTCAGATCCTTCAATCATGTGGCTTATTAAATCAATTTAAAATATCTAGGAGGAAGCAAGAGAAAGAGATGGAGTAATTCTGCCCATGTAGGACTGGGTGCAAGCAAGGGGAAGGAACAGCCTACTTAATTCTTGAGTTATGCATTGCTAATATATTCAGTTTCTCTCTCTCTCTCTCTCTTTCTATCCTTCTCTTGCATCAGCTTCCCTGATGATGCTTTTATTGTGAGGACTATAGCTGAGGTTAACAAAAAGGGGATGGGGAGTTCAGCAAAATACTTAGGGACAAGTAATCCTGGTCACAGCTATAATTCACCAGTTAATTTGATGAGCAGTGATGGGTTTTATTAGCATTTCTCAGGGAGAGTACACGTGGCGACAGGATGGGAATGAAATGGGTGTCGATGATGAGTGTTGGTTTTAGGGATGACATAGCTGTCATTCTGAAGGTGGTGTGATTTGTACATTATGGTTTGATCCTCCCACCCCATTCTATTTGTAAGTAACACTCTTATTCAGTCCTTTTTATCTGTGTTCAACACACTTATGCTCCATTTATCCGATCTGTGTTTAACACGTTTCATAGGTTTCTAACTTGCTATCTATATTTAACACTCCTTATGAGCTTTATCTATCCCATTTGTTTTCCTTGTTCTCCCTAGCAAAACTGAATATTCTTAAGTAATACAGCAAACACACATTATAGTGGTTGACTATGGGATTACAATATTCACTATAGGTTCTCATTAATTGATTTTTGTTGGTTGCTCTTTTAACTCCAGGAAGAAGTGCAGGCTGCTGCCAAGTAGGTGACATATCTCTATTTTCAGCAATTGACAACTTTATGTTTTATGTTGGTTTAGAAAATCAGCAGAGAAGAAAAATTGTAGAATTTAGGTGTTTTATAGATGGAAACTACCCTCGGTGCTTTCTTTTGCTATGCAGCTAGGAGCAGAATCAAGTGATTAACAGAAATAAAATGCCAAGGCTAGAAAAGAACTGGGAGATTATGGAATTCAGTCTTTTCAGTTTTCAGATGTGGAGTGTGAGGTTCAGAGAGGTAAGATGTTTTATCCAAGGTCACACAGCTAGTTAGCTGCAAAACTCAGAGTAGTCTCCATCCTTTGAAACTCCATCCAATGTTCTTGCCTCTCTCTATATTATAAGAAGAATTGGAATTATTTTCCTTTTTTTCTTTTTAGCAGATGAATTATGGTAAACATTTACTTGAAAGGGCTTTTCTGAAAACGAGAATGCACATAAAGTCTCAATGTATCAAAAGAGATGTTTCTTACATTTCACTCTGGTGAGTGCTGATATGGTCTCTTCATTTCAATGTGCCAATCACTTATAAAGAGAAATGAAGAAAACCAGCATAAGAAATATTTGGTTTTCTTGGAGGATTGAGTGAGTAGAAACATGGTAGGACTGGCTCAGACTGTTAGGTGGGGTGTCCTGAAAAGAGGAGGGGCTTATTTAGCATTACACATTATTAAAAATATTTGATAGCCACTAGCATCTGAGAAGAACCCATTTATCTCTTGATCTTTCAAAAACCATCATATTATTTTCTGATTGTAACATATATGGTTACTTAAAGTAACAATATAAATGAGAAAGATAAATGGAAAATACATGAATTAATTAATTCAACAAGTCCTTACTGGATGCCTGTCTTGTGCCAGGGACTAAGAAATGTGGATCAAATAATGAATAAATGAGTATGCCTGCCCTCACGTAGCTTACAGTCTAGAGGGGAAAGAAAGGAAATAACATGAAACATGAAACCAGATTGTGATAAGTGATATAAGGAAATAATAAACTGATTGCAATGCATACATTAGGACATGTTATAATGAGAAAATAGCCAGCGTTGGAGTAATAGAGAGACTTTAATGGAGAGCCCGCTTTGGAGAGAGTAACCAGCCGGTTTCATTTGCAGTCAGAGCTGAAGGAGGAGAGTGAGGCATGTAAGAAGCTGGGAGAGGAACTCTGTGGGCAGAGAAAAGAGCACCAAGATTTGAGGCAGGAATGGACCTGGTGTGCTCCTCTGGCAACCAAGGAGAGGGGGTGGGAGAGGGAAGCAAGGATCCATTTGAATGTGACTTTGCAGGCCATGCTAAAGGGACTAGATTTTCTCCTGTGAGCGATGGGAAGCCATTGAAGGATTTTAAGCAGGAGGCTGAAATGATTGGGACTTGTGCTTTAAAAAGAGCATTTGGCTGTGGTGTGGAGACTGAGGAAGGGAAGGCAGTGTGGAGACAGGGAGACTAGTTAGGAAACCATTGGAGGAGCCCTAAGGAGCAATGGTAGTAGCTTGGACAAGAGTTTGCAGAGCTGGGAAGAAGTGAAAGATTCCAGACACGGGAGCCTGCATGACGTGTTCTTGGATTGGGTGCTGAGAGTGGAGAAATGGGAAGATTCAAAGACAGTTTCTAGTTTTTTGGCTTGAGGAATTGAGCGTTGTCATTTACTAAGTCTGGGGCTTCTATGAGAAAATCGAGAATGGGGGAGAGAATAAGAGCTGCATTGTGGGCACATTGAAATGATTGTTAGACATTCACATGGAAATATTAAGTAGGAAACTGAACATATGAATCTGTTGCTTAAGGGTGAGATTAGGGTGGCAGATATAAATTTGCAGGTCGTTGGCCATGGGTTGGATTATATCACCCAGGGAGAATTGAGTGAGGATACCCATAACTGATATGATATTCACATCCATTTCCTCTAGCAAGTGTTGCTGGTCAGTTATAGCTCTTTTTTTGGGGGGGGGCCTAAGCTTCAGAATCCTGAAATGAGCTCTTCAAGTAGCCACCAGCAACCAGTTGATTCCTAGTTGATAAGTCAAAAAGGAAAAAGAAACATGTATGTTAATCACAAGGGTAGAATCTTTTTCTGGCATTACGTTCTAGGTGGATTTTATTAGGAGAATCTTTGCCTAGCAGGAATGATAATAAAAATAATGTTAACAAACATTTGCTAATATACTCTAGCTTACAGAGTGTCTCGCTCATGTATTTAATAGGTTTTGTATATCATCCTGGAAAGTCTTCGGCTAGAATTTTCTAGAAAGTATAGAAGCATTCTTTAAGTGGCTATCTCTTATTTTAGCTCTTGACAAAAGCTGACAGCAGGCCACTTAACAGTAAACTAGTTAAAGACCTTTTTTGGGGCAAAAAAGTAAGTGTTGTGCAACAACATTTGATAAGTAGGAAATTGAACATATGAATCTGTTACTATGATAGTAGAGTGGTCTGCCTGGGTTGGGTGCCTCCATGGTAGAGGACCAAACTTGCTTTCTGCCATCTGTAGAGGCGACTTTTACAGCTAGAAAAGTCTGTGCTGTTCTTTTCTGTGCTACAAACTTTAAGCAGAAATTTGAAGAATTATAGAAGGCTAAGGTAGAAAAGCACTAAGAGATCACCTAGTCCACTCCTTCATTTTGCAGAGGAGAAGATTGAACCCCCAAGGTCAAGAATTCAATGATATCTTTTTTTTTTGAGTTGGAGTCTCACTCTGTCGCCCAGACTGGAGTGCAGTGGCCGCTCCCAGCCACTGCAGCCTCGACCTGCTGGGCTCTGGCGATCCTTCCGCCTCAGCCTTCCGAGTAGCTGGAATTACAGGCATGTGCTATCACGCTCAGCTGATTTTTTGATTTATTGTAGAGATGAGATCTTGCTGCTCAGGCAGGTCTCGAACCCGCGGACTCAGGCAATCCACTCACCTCAGCCTCCCAAAGGCGCGGGATTACAGGCTGAGCCACCGAGCCCGGCTTTTGATATCTTTTTTAGACATCACTGTTTAGGATGAGATTCTTCAAGGTCCGTATACGAGTCTGTGATGTTGCTTGGGCAATACTGCCTTGGAAGTTCCATATTTTTCCAGGGGCTTCTCCTGCAGTCCTGGAAAAAGAGCCAAGTAGTTATCATGCAGCCGGAGGAGATGATCAGGATGTGAGAGGAGACCACCGAACATACCTTTAACGTTCATTTATCATCCTCTGAATAATCTTCTCTAACTCTGCTCCCTGAGTGCCCCTTTTTGATGCCATGAAATGTAGTGTAAAATAATGAGATAACACCCAGTTTATCATGATGAGGGCGAGTCTGAGTATGAAGTGATGGATGTCTCTCATTATGCTGATGTTGGAGAAAGAAACATTCCTATCCAGGAGCAGTATTAGCTAGACTCACACACCTCTAGGCCTGTTGAATTGGCCTTGAGTTTAATAAATATTTCATGAGGAAAGTCATCCGTTGCATGTTTAAGGAGAAATTCCAGGCACGCTTATGGATCATGAGCATGCCTTGTATTTATTCTTCAAGCAAAGGCAGAGTTGTTTGGCATTATTAGCGCTAGTAAATCTCTGCAAGGTACAAGGTGAGGACAAGTTTCCTATATGCATTGGGGGAAGAAGGAAGCCAAGTCCATGGGAAAAGTGAAATTGGAGGCTCTGAAGTAGCATTTGGATCTTACTAGTCCCAAGATTCTCTGAATTTAGGACCCCATTTATCCGACTGCCTCTTACCTTATTTACAGCAACTTCATCTATTTGCAGCAAACTGAATTGCTCAATGTCCTGTCAAAATTCCTGTCTGATACTCACTGTCTGGCCAATTGTGAACTTGTCAAAGTGACAAGTGAACATGGCAGAGATAGCGTTTCCAGGATTTGCATTGAATGAATGCAGCTGTAGGGAGTGGCAGATGAGTGGTGCCTGAGAATGAAAACTGCTGACAGGAGGGAAAAGTGAAAAATGCAGTGTGGATCCTTCACACATGACATCTTTAACTATGGATCTCCTCCCCTTTTCCTTCTCCTGTCTCCTCTCCTCTTTCGCCTTCTATATTTCCTCTCTATCCTTCTTCTCCTTTCTCTACTCCTCTCCTCGATCTTCTCTACTGATTCTCCTGCTCTCTCTTCTTAACTCCCAGATACAAAAAGAGAGATCCATGCAGCCCCTCATGTGAGTGAGAAATTAATTCAGCTGTTCCGGAATAAGAGTGAATTCACATTTTTGGCCACTGTACAGCAGAAGCCATCAACTTCAGGAGTGATTCTGTCCATCCGTGAACTGGAACACAGGTAAGAAAGCTCTTTGTACTTTGGAAGATCTCCTTAGAGTTAATGGGCTATACAATGCTTTGAAATTTAGAGGCTGTAGCCCCATGAAAACATTCAGCTAGCTGTGGCCTTGTTTCTGTTGAACACATTAATGAATTTACTTTGCATTAAGAATTTACTTTGGGCAAAGTGGCTTTCTTATTTGCTTTCCAAGGACCATTCATGAGTATCTCACCTATCTTCTGGTAGAATTAGTTTGTATAAAACACATTACATTCATTATATTTAGATCATCAAACAAGTTAATTAGTTGTTAATATATTTAACGATCTTCAATAAGCGTCTGTTATGTGTTTATGTGGGAATTGTACTTGATGCTGGGAATACTAAGGTGAATAATACAGAACTTTTACTCTGAGGATCTCATAAGCTAGTAGGAAAGATAGTCAGAAAGATATTATAAAGTACTGTAGATGCAATGCTAGAAGTTTGTATTCAGGGAATAATGTCTACTAAGAGTTGTGGTAGCCAAGAAAGGCTTCACAAAAGGTGCTGGTTGTGTAAGGAAACAACATGAGTATATTTTTGACAGGCTGAATGGGAAGGAGTAAGGGATGGGAGGAATGACATTTCAGCAAGAGGTTGCTCTGATTTTAAGAAGGAACAGGTAGTTGGGTAAGTGGTTGAAACATAAAAGTCTGTGGGGGAAAGGGATGAGAGTTTGGGAGTGAATGGTGGTCTTACAGAGGTGTAGGTGGAAGCCAGATAACTGAGAAGCTTCAGCGCCTGTTGAAAAATTTGTACTAAAGTTCCCATAGGCAATAGGTCTTAAGTTTAAGAAAGACACTCTGTTACAGAATTCAAAGTAATACTTATAAGGTAACCTAAACAATATTAACTTTTAATACCCAGCCGGGCTCTGTGGCTCAGCCTGTAATGCTGCGCTTTGGGAGACTGAGGTGAGTGGATTGCCTGAGCCTGCGGGTTCAAGACCCGCCTGGGCAACTTGGCGAGACCTCATCTCCACAATAAATAAAAACTTAGTCGGGTGTGGTAGTGCGCGCCTGTAGTTCCGGCTACTCGGAAGGCTGAGGCTGAAGGATCGCCGGAGCCCAGCAGGTCGAGGCTGCGGTGGCCGGGAGTGGCCACTGCACTCCAGTCTGGGCAACAGAGTGAGACTCCAACTCAAAAAAAGTTTTTTGTTAATGCCAGCTTTCTCTATATTGGTCCTTTGAAAATATTTATGAAGCACCAACTGTTTTCTAGCTTCTATGCCAGGTTTTATGAAGAAATGAAGAAACAAATTTTTCTAACGACTCAGGGTGGAGTTTGACAATATGGGAAGCAGGGCTTGGCTACATAGAAAGCTAAAAGATCTAATAATAAAGAAAGAATAGAGTGGTGTTACAAGGAAGTGTGTAGGTCATTTCAAAATTATGTAAAGGTGTTAAGTTCACTGAATTAAGTATATTAGGCCAGTTGCTAAGGAAGACCACATAGAGAGAATACTCTTGAAGAACGGGCAGAATTCCAGCAGGCAAGGGAAGATGGGTTTATCAAGCTGGAGGAACAATGTGCACAGTCACAGTGGTGAGGAAATGCAGGGAAATCCAACTGAGGGGGCCAGTGAACAGGCCAATTTGGCCAGAGCAGAGGGTCTTTCCATGAAGACTTTCAGCAGTTATAAGGATCGACAGTTTGGTCTCTTTTTAATGGTTAAGCTTGTTCTCAGTCTCAAGGGCTCTAATGAATCCTGATCCTTTTGTGGGGATGTTGAAGCATTATGGGCTAGCTGCTTCTGGGTCAGCCCAAAGAAATCAAAATGATGTACGTGTCTATATGAGAGAGATGGGTTAGTTCAAAGGTGTTCTGTAGGCTGGGAGGAGGTGTCAAGCCAAGTCTCAGCTTCACAATCATGGAAAGACTGTGTCATTGCCCTGTTGGCCTTGTGGGGTTGGGTGTGAGGGCCTCCCTGGTGTGAGGGCCATACAAATGCCCAAGAGTAGAATGTAGATACTAGGGGAGAGAGGGAGAGAGGAGGGCAGGGAACACGTGATGACACAAGGGATCTACTACCAGGGGGAGTGAGGGCCACTTGGAAACCCAAACTTCACCTCTATGCAGTTTCCGTATGTATTCAATCCTCACTTGTACCCTACATCTCCATTTAAAAAGAAGAATGTGGATCTTCAGATACACCTCGTGAACGCAGAGAACTTCCCAAAGCCGGTGTGAAGCATGTGGAAGCATTGCTATTAGAGTGGAAAGAACACAGGCTTCCGAGTCAGCCATTCTAGTTCTAGCTTTGTATCACCAGTTATTCAATGTCCTAGAAATGACTTTTCTTGACCTTGAAATGTGGGTAGTAATCTATTTTAGAGAGGTGCTGAAAGATGAAAAAAATGCGTGGTGAGCGGTCATCCCTTAACATATATATTTTTCTTCTCCTTGTCTAAGTATGACTTGAAACTTTATAGGGTTTCTCTTTTGGAATTAAAAAAAAAATCTTACTTTAGGATAGGTTTCAAAAAAACTTCTGTGTTGCTACATAAAGTCATCTAAGGTTATCTTTTCTTACATCCATAGTAGTTTCTAATAGATCCCGCGGATGATTGAATGAAGAGGCACCTGATCATTTTTTGTTGTTACAGCAAAACCTTAGATTTTGATACATAAGCGAAATAAATATGAAGAAATAGAAACTAGATCTGAATTTTAGGGTGCTCTGATCCATGTTTGTGTAGTCTACTCAAGGCAAAGTATGAAAGACTGCATCTGTGATCGCATTGGCTATGAAGTATACAGAAGACTTGGTTTCCACTCTTACAGAGTTAAAATCTAGATAAGGAGACCCAGAATGCAAGAAAATAGAGAGGAATATGAAATAGTATCTATTTAGGAATATGGTTATTTATCACATCCCCAGGGTCCCTGTTTATAATAACTGACAACTTTTCATTGTTTTCAGGTTCCTTTTATTATTTATCAGGGTAACAGTGACTAGAAGAACAAATTGTCCTGCAGACATTTGGCATGGACATTTGACCAGTTGTATACAATGACCAAGGATTTGGGACTCTTCTTCATTCAATAGCAGAGGATCCAGATATCTGGTGGATAGACTGTTAGCTGCAAAGTCAGGCACCCAGGTTGTTTTTGTGGTTCTCTCATATATGATTCTGATTGTATCACTTATACTAAAGATGAATTAAATATGTATTTGCCACAATTTGGGATATGATAGGCATTATTACATTCCTATATGATTTTTTAAATTTTTTATTTTGAGTTGGGGGTCTTATCTTGTTGCCCAGGCTGGAGTACAGTGGCACAATCACAGCCCACACGGCATCAAACTTTTGGGCTCAAGCGATCCTCTCACCTCAGCACCCCAAGTAGCTGGTTCTACAGGTGTGTGCCATATACCCTGTTAATTTTCTGATTTTTAAAAATTTTTGTAGAGTTGAGGTCTCGCTATGTTGTCCAGGCACTTCTTGTACTCCTGAGCTCAAGCAATCCTCCCACCTCAAGCAGGCCTCCCAAAGTCCTGGGGTTACAGGCATGAGCCACTGTGCCTGGACAGATTTTTTAATTTTTATGTCTTAGATTTCAGTAGTTTTCAGAGTAACTGGAAATTACACAGAGTTGTGTATTCATCACCACAATCAATTTTAGAAATTTTCATTACCCTCAAAAGAAGTCCTATACCCTTAGCTGTCACTCTCAATTTCCCCATAAGCCCCCTAGCCTTAGGCAACCATAATCTACTTTCTGTTTCTATAGATTCTTCTATTCTGGTCATTTCATATCAGTGAAATCATACACAATGTGGTCTTTTGTGACTGGCTTCTCTCACATGGAATAATGTTCTCATGGTTTATTCATGTGGTAGTTTGTGTTAGGAGTTCATTTCTTTTTATTGCAGAGTATTGCATTGTTCAGATATAACACATTGTATTTATCCATTCATTAGTTGGTAGACATTTGAATTGCTTCTGCCTTTTGGCTATTATGAATAGTGCTGCTACAAACATTCATATACAAGTGTTTGTGTGGACATATGTTTTCTTTTTTTATATATTAATATATTTTATTTTGATATTGTGGGGTACAGTTAAGGGTTGGGTATACAAATATGCTTCGTTCAGGCACTCTTGTTGATAAGGGGTGTCTCCCCGTCCCCAGACAGATATTGACTACTGTTAGTCCCACCTCCCTTCCCCTCCCTACACCCCCCATAGTTTACCACCACTGTCAGTTCTTTTTTTATAGTATTATAATAGATGTTCAAGGTCCACTATATGAGTGAGAACATGTGATACTCAGATCTTTGTTTCTGTGAGAGATCACTCAGTATTATAGACTCTAGTTCCATCCGGGTTGCTGCGAAATTCATGATTTTGTTCCTTTTTATGGCTGTGTAGTATTCTATCGTGTATATGTACCACATTTAAAAAAATCCAGTCCTCTTTTGATGGACAGCATGGTTGGTTCTAGGTTCTTGCTATGGTGAACAATGTTGCAATAAACATTTGTGTGCAGGTATCTTTTGGATAGAGTGATTTGAGTTCTTCAGGGTATTCTTATAGTATTACGATGGATGTTCATTCTTGGATATATGCCTAGGAATGGAATTTCAGGATCAGGTAGGAACTGTTTAATTGTTTCAGGAACTGCCAGACTTTTTTTCCAAAGTGACTATACTGTTTTATATTTCCACCAACAGTATATGAGGATTCAGTTTCTCCACATCCTTGTCAATACTTATTATCTTTCTTTTTTATCATAGCCATCCTAGTGAGTATGAAGTGATATCTTATTGTGGTTTTGAGGTGCGTTTGCCTAATGGTAAATTATGTTGAGTATCTTATCATGTGGTTATTGGCCATTTGTATATCTTCTTTGGAACAATATCTACTCGAATAATTTTTTCAATTTTAATTAGGCTATTTGTATTTTTATAGTTGATTTGTAATAATTCTTTATATTGTAGATACAAGTCCTTTATCAGATTATAATTT